GGGGGGGGGGGGCTCGCCCCCGGCTGTTGGACCCGAGGCGTCACAGGGCCCCCCTGGATAAGGGTCCATTTTAAGGAGACCCACGAACAGAACTGAAAAATGAATTTTGAACTAAACCCATCTTTCGGAATGATCATACGTGACGCTTCAAATTCTCCCCATAGAATCACACGTATGGTCGTATGGAAGAGACCTCGGAGAGAGACCATCTGACCCGCCCTCTCATTTACAATGAGGGAAGACGGACCGCTCTCCAGTTTCCATGGTGACCGTCAGGCCTCCACGGGTAATGTGGAGAGTCTACGAGCAGTAAGGCAGCAGGCACATGCCACACTCTTCAAGTGACCATTTTTCCTGCTTGGGGTAAAGGCAGACAGGTGGGCCTGGAAAGTGAAATTTCCGGCTTATCCAGAATTCATGGCCAGATTATTACAATGAGGAGAACCCTCTGCGGAACATTCCAGGTTAGAATTTAGAGGCAGAAGTTTAACATTTAGGTTTGGTTAGTAATACGTAAATTAGCTGTGTATGCTCAAGGTTCTCGTGAGAACAAGACTATGGACCGCAGTGCTCACTGCCTCGCAGGAGAAGAGCTGGGCACTGACTCCCAAGCTCATATGGTGCTGTGTGTATGTCCCATTGCTTTGACACAAGTTGTGGTGTTTACTGGGGGTATTTTAATTCCTTTTGTATAAATAGAAAATTAAAGGCGTGGTTACTCAGCAGTGGGTTAGTTTCTCTACAACTCTTAACAGTGAGGAGGAGATGATATTGTACAGCTGCATTGGATCAATTTCCTTTCCCTCAGCGCCTCTCTAACCTGACACTTTAGGGCCCTTAAATTTATATTTCTTCTTTGAAAACGATCATATTTTATTTAATTGAATCTCAGAAAACCATTTTTGATAGTTCTTTGGGGAGTTCCCATACCACTGCATGGCTTTCTAATTTTACTTGAGCCTAGTTGAATGTCCTGAAAGAACAGTGCTCAAGACATTCAAATCCCAGTTCAGTGCTTTGTGGGAACAACCTAGCTTAGAGATTGAGAAATGGGTGGATTCTGAAGGGATAGGAGTTTGTACAGACAGACTTGATCTACTTGGCCTTTATATTAGTAGAATGTAAAAAAAACCAACAACAACAACTGTCCTAGGTTGGGCAGAGAGTAAGCAGAAAGGTGTGAAGATGGAGCTTCTGGAGGCACAGAAGGAAGCAGCGGTGAGTTTATCGTATTAGCATGAATGCACGGATGCGAGCAGGCAGGGTGGATGAACATTTACATGGAAGTCATATCGTTGAGAGCGTGGTCCAGCTCCTCGCTGATGGCCTTGTACTTCAGTTTCTGAGCGTACAGCTCGTCTATGACCGGGAAGTGGGAGGCAGAGGTGCAAGGACATGGAGAGTGACCAAGAGATGGAGGGTGAGTGAGGGTGGCATGGGCGCCACCCCGACACAGCAGCAAGAAAAGGGCAATGCAGGAAGGAAGTGGTGCCGCAGCGGGTGGCCAATGCAGGAGGCGTGCGTTTTGTTTTTAAATGAATTGAAACAAAAACAAAAAGAACAAAACCCATTAGAAAATAAAACAAGAAAGGCGCAATAAGAAAATCATAACAAATAGGGTAGGTCTATCAGTAAACCACGTTAAGCCCTAAACAAAACCATAGGAGGATGTCTCCTGGGGGAGTAATAGAAGGTCTTTCTTTCCTACAGCTATATTTTAATCACGCTGGAGTCAGCCAACTGCCACTATAAACAGTGGAAAAAAATATCTCAGGGCAGTGCTTTGGAAGAACAGTCTGTGACCATAGTCTGTTACCCGTATCAGGCTCCACCTTCAAACCACTGACCGGCTGAACAGACTAGACCACGCGGATACGGATTTCTTAGTGCCATAAGCCATCCGTCTTCCCACCCAGGCTGCCCTGTTAGGGGTCCAGAAGGCCTGACAGGCGAGGAGAGCCACACCCTTTATGGCGGTGCAGTGCCAAGTCTGCAAGGCGGCTACTGTAGCGATGGCTGCCCACTCTGCCGCACCGGAGACACCGTTTGCAACCATCTGCCATTCCCTCCTCTACCAGCTTGGTTATCACCTGCACCGAACTCGTCCCCTCTTTAACGCCTTCTGCCTTGAATGTTTATATTTTATGTAGTTTTGCGTTCTTTCTTTTTCCTTGCTGACCCTTCACAAGCCTCCGAGCTCAACATTTAGGATTTCTGTGACACAGAGCGGGTGCTACAATAAAACCTCAATATCTTAGGGGAGAAATGCTTAAGTATAATCCCCAAATACAATGTCCTATTATGACCCCCCTCCTCTGTCAGTACACAGAGCCTTTACCAACATAACTAATGACAGAAAGTCCCAAACCCTTACGCTGAATTCATCCCTGGAAGAAGATGGGTGGTGTCTAAGAACAGATCCATGCCGCCTGACAGGAGGTATCGCTAACGGCAGGAAATGCTCCCGCGTCATTCTCACCTACCACCCACCACCTGCCCCGCTGCTGAGGTGTGTGAGGTAAAACTGGACGGCATCTGCCCTTACAAAAAAAGACCTGCCCTGTCTGGTGGCTCACAGTCACCTGGCAAGCAGAGGACTCAGGTCCAAGAGTTCAAGAGCCACAGAATGAAACCCAAGGACAGAGAGGAGAAATGTGCAAGAGCAAAGGTGAAGGCGTATCAAGGTGAATGCACCTGGATTAGAAAACCGTTTTGCCAGGTCAATACTCAACCACAAGGGTTCAATTAAAAACAAAATGTAAGATCTTACCTTCTAAGTCATCAATGCTTTTCTCCAATTTAGTTACTGACCTCTCTGCAAACTCAGCCCGAGTCTCAGCCTGTAACGATTCAATTTGTTTCAGTCAAAATTGGGATGTTTTAGATGTCCAGGAGCGATGAATACAGGGAAAAACTATAAAATGGAAATCAAGCACAGCACCCATAAAATGGGTCAGAAACTACTTGTTGGTCAGTCCCTACGGTGACAGGTAGCAGAGCACAAGAACCCCAAGACCACCCCTGAATATTCCTGACGTGGACCAGCATGACTTTAAAATGAAAAGGCCCTGACCTGCTCCCTGAAAACAAGCTCAGTTTAAAATTCAGGTGGCTTTGCCCAAAACATTCACAGCATTACCTCCTTCAGCTTGTCAGAAAGGACCTTGATCTCTTCCTCATATTTGTCTTCCTTCTGAGAGTACTGTAATTAGAAAGAACGTTCCAGATGTCAGGCCACAGCTCACTCTATACTCCTGTCTTCTAATACAAAGAAAGCGCCAGCCCAGCAAACAGATGTTGGGGATCTCTCAGGTGGTAATGGAGCCTCTGAGATCAAATGGCACACTACAATACAGTCTCTGTTTTCCTGCCTATTGTTTTACATGGGATAAAAACAAGATAACATCCATTTGGCACTTGGTTTAAATTAAATTGTTACAGATGACTCACATATGCAATTAAATTGTTACAGATGACTCAGATAAAATATTCTCTATTAAAAAAAAAAGAATCTATTATTCAATAACCATTAGGAAATAACCTCAAAACGATGCCATTTACTAAAATGCCAATTGGGCTGCTGCTTTTATCAGCAGGGCCTCGGAAGAGAAAAAGTGGGTGTCTTTTGAGTAGCTCTTAAAAGGTGCCTTTTCCCCCACACCATGCGCCTGGCCTACCTTCTCAGCCTGAGCCTCCAGTGACTTCAAGTTGTTCGTCACAGTTTTCAACTCTTCTTCAAGCTCGGCACATTTGCTAATGTTTTCGATCAGAGGCAGAAAGGGTGGGAGACAAGCCAAAGGAAGGAGGAGAGAAAAAGGAGAGGGATGGGAAAAAATGAAAACCGAGTCCTAGAGAACAAAGGGCTGCCTTAAAAGTAGCCAAATCGCTGGGTAGCAAAACTCTCAATTTCGCCACAAACACTGTCCCCCAAGCTTGTAAAAGTGGAAAGGCAGGGTGACAAAATCCAACAACTCTGAAGTGTGATAAATTTGGCTTCTTTTTGGGCTGCACCAAAGAGCATTTACGAAGGAAAAACAAAGGAGTATAAAGAACCCAAAGAAAGCACTTAAAGCAAGATACAGGATAGCAGAGGGTGTAGTGAAGGTGCAGTCGTTATACCAAACGGACCAGTAGATGTTGGAAGCTGAAAGACGTCTGGGTTGGAGTTAAACCTAAAAACCACACATGAGCCATCAGTACCTTATCCTCTGCAGCCATTAATGCTTTCAAGGTCTGATCCATTATTCTTAATTGTTCTTCCAGCTGTCGAACTTGGCTGTTAGTGGACACAGGAAATGCACAAGGCCATTCTCAAAATCAGTGTGCAGGTAAGGCATGCAGTGACACACGCATTCATACACAGACACCCCACGCAAGTCCTCCACGTTCCAGACTCGTGGCTCATCCATGACGAACGAGCACATAAGGAGCCCGGAGTTGAAACAGGTCAATGTGCAGCTGCCAGAAGGTCATGCTGTTTAGTCTCTGCTCTGCAGCACCCCACACACAGCGTCCTGGCGCCGGCCCGCTTACCCTTCTGAGAGCTCGGCCCGCTCCTCTGCACGTTCCAGGTCACTCTCAATGATGACCAGCTTACGGGCCACCTGCAGTAGGGCAAACACAACACCATGGGCTTGCAAGCTTTGAGGAAGGGGGCTCAGGGGCAGGGAATGGACCCATTGGCCCCTAGAAGATCTTGTCTATAAATAAGATGATTCCCTTTCTTGTGGACTAGAGAGAAGCTAATCTCCACCAGGAGTACCAATGGAGAGGTGACCAGAGGCTTCTGCCCCCCAAAGACCCAGCATGGTTAGTTATGAACCGGCAGCCTCATTTTAAGTCTGACCCACGTGAAGTCTGTATAATTACACAGCAGCCAAACCAAAGTGTAGAAGGGAGAAATATGAAATTCACCATCTCAAAAATAGCAGTATGAGGAGACATGACGCATTTTATGCCAAAAAGGTAGGTAGGGGCTGCCAAGAAAACACTGAAAATAATCCTGAGAACTCCATCCATTTAGAGCTCTGTACCCCAATCTCCTTTTCTGTGGCGGAGGTTAAAAATGCCAACAGAATAGCAGGAGAAGCTGCCATGAGATGAGCTGGTGAGATGACTAATGCAGGCAAATCTGTACTCAGTGAAAGAGAACCTGAGAGAAGGGAGCCTCCTGAAACACTTCAAAATTAGTGGGCATAAAGTAATCTGGAAATAAATAATGATAATAATAAAAAGAAGTCCATGCTGTTTCAAGACAGCCACGGTGCACTAAGGGCAAAACTAAAATCTTAACGGTTACGCTGCTCTGTTATCACAGGGACGCTGTTTCCACGGGGATGTGACCAGAGGCTGATTAACTGTGAACCTATGGTGACCATGGAATCCCCCTACCACCCTGAGGAGAGAGAAATGCTCCGTGCCGAATCAATCACCCAAGCAAGTGCACGTCTCTCGGGGGACCACGCAAGGTGAGTCACTCCAACAACTGTGTGCATGCTGATAGCACAAGAAGCTCCTTCCACAGACACGAGGGGCCCACTCTCCCTTCTCCCGGCCAAAGGTCTTTTGACCTGGTCTTTAGGGGGCAGGGGGAGCAGCTTTGGTCTTTCCCAGGGCTATTGACTGGCTTCATGATGAAGTTTGGGATCCCCCGGCAGGGTCAAGTAAGAACCATTTTCTGCACAGGAACTCTGCTTCTCAAAGCCACCCATTTCTGCCAAGGAGGCCGATGGTTTCACTGAAGGCTGCAAGGCTGCATACACCGCCCCCCACCCTCCCCGGGCCACTGCTGGGGGTCCACGAGGCTCCGGGCCCCAGGATCTGACCTCTTCGTACTTGCGGTCGGCATCTTCAGCAATGTGCTTGGCCTCTTTCAGTTGGATCTCCTGAATTTCCATTTTCTCTTCATCTTTCTGGGCTCGACTTTCAATGACTTTCATGCCTCTGACAAGGAAGACAAGCAACAAGAGCCCAGATTTAGAGCTGACCCCCCGCAGACCCACCCACCGCACTGCAGTGGTTGGCGAGGCTTGGTGCGCCCAGCAGGCCGTAAGAGAGCACAGAGCTACTTTTATTTTCCAAGCCCTGAGGCAAGAGTTTCCAATGCTGGAGGCAGAAAGATACATACTTCTGTTTATTGTGAATGAAATCTCACACTTCCAGTAGGGGGGAGGGGGAGAAACGGTCCAGGAATCTAATGTTAAGTTAAAGGTAGGGCGTCAGGATCCTGTTTGAAACTGGGAGGCAGGGAAACAGGAGGGGGCCAACCTGCTGTAGTTGCTACATAAATAATGGGATTTCTTCCCTTTCCTGGTGGGAAGCTTCAGCCTGAAAACGGATCAAAGTTAGAACAAAAGTATATCTTCATACACTTCCTCCTACAGAGAAGGTAGTCGTTCTTACCTCATCAGACACAAATGTAAATATTACATTGAATCATAATGAAATTGCTGATATCTGACCATGTCAGACCCATAAAAATAGCACTGTCCTGTGGGTCAACCTAATACTTTAGATAAGAAATGATGAGTTTTGCCTTTAATGGAACTCTTTCATAGTAGACGTGTTTGACAGCCAGGACTGACACCATCTTCCACACTGATACGTATGTCTGGATCCCATGGCATGGTGCTAAGTTTTGGAAAATGTTAATTGATTTACAATATATTGCAGATTTACGGAATAACACTTCATGGTAAAATAGGATTCACTGACCAAAAATCTAAGTAGGTAGTAAGATAAGATGAATTTTTTGAAGCACCACCACAATATGTTTTAGGTGACTCGAGTTCTAGTCCTGGCTCGGCCATAAGTTGGCTGTGAGACTCTGGGCAGGCAACATGAGTCTCTGAGCCCTAGTTTTCTCATTTGTAAAATCAGGGGACCGGAGTAAATGATGTTGAAATTCCATTTTACTCCAAAGTCTGACACTGCCAGATTCAGATCATCGCCTTTTAGGTTCATGAACAGTGCATTTCAGGAAGGAGCCAGCCACGAAACCACTGGAATGTGGACACCGTTTGGGAGGATGACACCTTAAAGAATTCCAAGATTCTTGGTTAGAGAAGAAACAATGAGCAGCAGTGAATTATGAGCTGGAAACTTCAGCTAAAAAGCTTCTTTAATCCTAAAGTCTGAAATCGCTCTTTATCCATGGAGGCAGGGAGCAGAAGGTCACTTCTAAGAGGGAGGCAAAGTGGACCAAATGACTGACCGTGTGCTCCCCTGCCCAGGCCCAGCACAGGCCTGCACGTCCAGTGTTCTGAGCCACTGCACTCCTTTGTCATGCCTTAAGCGGCAGAGCTCTCTTTTCTCAGGGAGCCTTTCTATGCGACAGGAATACACTGACTTTGACAGCTGAGAAAATGCCTTCTAAAACACACGAAGTTGTGCTGGTCTACACAGCCACGGTTTTCCTTTGCTACCACAAAATTGGGTCTTGGGGGCAACAATTCGGGTAGAGCCAGGTTACAGTGGGAGCAGGCTCAGAAGACACAAGTATCTGACTGTATTTACGTGTGCACGTGCCTTATTAGCATTACTAAGTCCCAAACAATTGACTTTTGCAGAGCATATTTCTGTTTTATCTGTGTTTTCTCTTTCATCTGTTTGTTGGGCTATTCCACAACTGATAGCCCTCTTTTATTTAAGTCTAAGCCTCCTTGGTATGTTTTAAAACAGTTATCTTTTTCAAAAACGCATAACTGCTCTGGGGTCACCAGGAATGAAAGAACCATTATGCACCCCTAGAATTTCTTATTTATACGTCCATCTCCCTTGTTGGATGGTGATCTCTAGGAGGACAGGAAAAGCATCTTTTTCTTCTTTGTAACCTTGGGGTTGAATAAACTCCAATATGTTAAACAAACGAAACCAATAAACTTATACCTGGCATCAAATGAGGAAATGATCCCCTAAGGGACTGCAAAATTCTTAAACCCCAAGAACAGAGAAGCCCTCCCAGTTCGCCAAGAGGAAAAGCTGATGCTAAAACCTGGGCCGGGTGAGGTGCCCTCACCTCTCACTCTCATCTGCTGCCTTCTCGGCCTCCTCCAGTTTCTGCAAAGCTGTTGCCAGACGCTCTTGGGCTCGATCCAACTCTTCCTCAACCAGCTGGATGCGTCTGTTCAGAGAAGCTACATCGGCTTCAGCCTAGGCAGAGAGAGCGAAAGGCATTTTAGAGTTGGGGGGAAGTGAGGGTAGTGCCTTCGGGAAGTGGCCGAGACTGAAACACTGATTCCAGATGGGAAGTCTGGACCTTGTGTCGAGCTACCCTTAAGTGCATTACAAGCCCTGGTCAACTTGGGAGTTCTCGGGCATGTGAGTACATTGATTTATACACGGAATGTTCCCATTTGTGTATATACAAATCCATGAACACCATTCTCCTTGGAAAGATGGACCATTAGCAAATGCTCTCTCACTTGGCTCCTTTCTCCCATAGATTTCAGCACACTGGCATTACCTGACTATTAAAGAACTTCACTATAGCCACCTCACTCACTGGGGCTGAGGTGTGCACAGAGACGACATGGCTTAGCCAGGCTCAGCCATATAAGGCAAGAGTAGTACAGCCAGAAACCGGACTTGGGGGGGTCTCCATTTTCCCTTCTCCAGGTCATTTTCTCAAGGGCACCTATAAAAGCACTAAAATATTTCAAAATTCAGTGGTTCTAAAATATATAGACACAACTAAATCCAGTACCCCCTCCCCGCCCCCTTTTCGGAAATCCCTTCAGAGTAACTAGTCACACTGGAACAGGGCCAAGACAAATTTCCCAAGTGTGTCCGACATAAGACTACTGGAATTTCTCACAAGTCAAGGCTGCTACAGGAAGAGTTTCAAACTCCTTACGAGAAAAGCAGTACAGATATCGTTTTTATTTGTACCTATCCCTGAAATAAGATGTTTCTTTCTTGGGGATGCCATGATCACCTACTGTTGTAAACATTGTTACCATGAGCTTCAGAACACTTGGAAGACTGATGGTCCATTATACACACTTGCATTGGTGGCTATTTAAATATTATGCATGCAAGTGAAATATGGAATTTCTTAACCAGGTACCATTTCTTCCCGCTCATCTATTTTGCATATTTGCTTATCATGGGGTGATGAGGTTTTCAGGACACATGGAGAACTTTCTAAAAATTACAATACACACTTAGGGACCTACACTAGTTCTCTATCTACATTCCATTCCTGTCTCCTCTACTCAGCTGTAAGCTTCTTACGTGCAGGGAAACGTAAGAAGTATGAGTTCAGTAAACGTCTCCTGAATAAAATGATTAAAACCAAGCTAACTTACACAAAAGCAACTTTCTTAGCTCACGGGTCCATGATATACACAGACTGAAATGCACACAGTTAGAGGGAGGCTGTGATTATGGCCTTCAATCAAAGGAATACAAGAACACTCAGCTCTTTGCTCATCTGTGCCAAGTTTTGTCTGGGACAGAGAAGTGATTAGGGCATTTGGTGAAGGACTCTACAAAAACATTCAAATATACTTTCATCTTGTCAAAAATTAACTATGTAGGGAGCAGGGGGAAACAAAATGAACCTGAGGATGGTTTACAACTGTACTGGCCCACACAGGAAATCATCGGTGCACAGCGAGTAATGGGCCCCAGTAAGTCTGACCAGTGGGTGACTGCTGGTTTTTTTGGAGGAGGGGTGAGGGTAATGGGGATAACACACTTCTTAAGTATAGAAAACTGTCTTTTTAAAGTCTTTAGCCTTATTTTAAAAAAATCAGGAGGAGTATACATTAAGGATATACTGTTGGGTGAGGTTAGCTTTCTCCACTTTTCTGTATTCTCCATGTCCAGGAAAATTCTATTCCTTTATGAACAGGGGGAAACAAGTATGCAACTCTTGAAATTAAAAACAAAAATGAAGAGCAAAAATCAAACAAAAAAAACCAAAACCTTCAGTAGAGTGTCTTGATCCTGTACTCAAAAGTATCCCCCTTTCCTTATTATTAATATAAAGGCAAGTATCCTTGTTACAGGTGGTGAGGCCAGAGAAATGTCAATGAGATTTTTAAAAACTTTTTTTTTTTTTTGTAGCCACCTCATTCTAGGTTCTCTGTTCTGCTTTCAACCTGGGCCCCAGACCTCAGGATTTTGCACTCATAGAAAGGAGACTGTTTATGGTCCGGAGACAGAGACTTCTGGGTGACAGGCCCCACACAGCTGGAGCATCAGAGAGTAAGGGACAGTGCCCCATGTTTATTGCCGCCTCTGCATGCAAGATCTCTGCACCTGAGAGGTTCCCCTATCAATCTGTATCTTCTCTCTTACCCCCCCCCCCC